CTCCCAAGATCTAATTGTTAATTCTCACTCTAGCTTCTATACATTTCCTTGTAAATTATTTAGGGGAATTTGGTCTTATATCAAGATAACGACTTTAACCTGATAATATTGAGTATTCTCATCACCCATTTGTGAATAATGTATGGATATTATAGGGAGATGTTACATGTAAGTCACCTCTGGGAGTTAAAGGGTTAAAGCATTGACACCATAGGTAATGTATATAGGTGCATTAGCATGATTTCCTTTCATTTCTTCATTTGAATGTGTGTTCTTCAAGTTTCCAATGTCTCTCAAATATTGTCACTTGAATGTCTAATATATTTGTTACTTAATTATAGTAATTATCAGAAATAGAGTACATTTTCATGTTAGTTTGAGTTCCATAAAGCTATTTCTTTTAGAAGCCATGCCCTGAGGAGAAAGCTAATATATTTTCACGCTTGTCATTTTGGTGGCTAAACAGGTAACTTCTCATTCTCCTTGAAATTTTAATTTCCATTATCATGGTTGTAGGTGATTTTCAGCAAAAAGTTTTACTATTGTGGTAAGCTTACTCAGTCAGGTGATTAGACAATAAAACTGTCTAGTGAGATGAAAGTTCAGTTGACATAAAATGTGATAAATTTTGAGTACAGTTTGTTCATGAAAAAATTTTTTATGGAGCTTGTTTTTCATCATAACCATTGCTTATTGATATGAGGCAAAATTTATATTTTTAACTTAGTCTACATCTTATCAACGTTGCACTTCCATTAAATTAAACATAAAGTGCTGTGAAAACCATTCCCTGAAGGAAGTACATAGTGATAATTCTACATAACATGTTTTTGCAGTCTCATTTTAACTGGCTTTAAAAGAGCACTGCTGGACAGTGATTTATGGGCACTGGAGGAGGGAAGTTTGTCTCACAGTATTGTGCCAAGACTTCAGAGTGAATGGGAGAAAGAAATAAGGAAGTGTCATGGGTCAGTGAACAATGTTTGTAGGAATAATTTTTATTACTATAATTTTTATTATAAGATTATTATAATTATTTTTACTATTGCCACCATTGAACTACAAACACTGTACTTGATAGTTTAGACAGGAATGGCGTGGAAGCCCAAAGAGACCATGATGCTTATAAAGTACAGTCTTCCTTGACTGGTATCATTTTATTTGGAAAAAAAAGGAGTGATAGTGTACTGCAATCAAACAAAAATTCAGATTATTGCCTCTGTTATCTCAGCAGAAACAGAGCACCACGTTCTAATGACGAGGACTTTGAACAGAATCATCTTCAGAGTGCCAGTGATGTTGCATTTGTTGGAAAATGCAGAGAGCCCTCTCTAATCAAAGCCATGATACAAGTATTTGCTCCTTACTTTGTGATTGGCGTTTTCTTCAAGTTGCTGAATGACATTCTGTTGTTCGTTCAGCCGTACCTTTTAGGGTGGGTGATTACTTTTTGTATTGGAGCAATTTTCAATTGAATGTCTATAGTAATGCAGGATAGCATTGGTTTTGCTTTACCTAGCTCTGTGTGATTGGTCCAGAAAAAATTGCACCACTCATCTCAACCAATCAGATGCAAAGCTTGAAACTAATCACGACTTGG